CAGAGTGATAAGTCTGATAATATATGGTACTAGATATATTTGAAATGTCCTATCGGATCCATTGGTAGTAACGGGGGAATCTACAAAGAAAACTTTGGAGGAGCCGCATGTAGCCACAGACAAGTGAAGGGATCATCCAAAAAGACAATAAACAGAGCTAATATGTTCATTTTGATTTATGAAAGCTAGCACAATCTTATCTTGGGTTTAACTTTAACTACAAGTTCATCATCTACAATAACAGAGTTTTAAACTAATAAGAAGTTGCAGAAATTGGTGATTTATGATTCCAAGATACCAAACTGTCACTTGTTGTCAAGGCCATTATACAAACAATATGATACGTAATCTCCAAAGGGAATTTCTTGTGCTTAGAATCATCACCTTTTGAAGTCCGAAACTAGAAGAGCCTACCCTTTTTTCCGAGCTTACTAAACTCCATAAATCAGTCACATAATCCCTTCTACCATGAGCACAACATTGTCTCAAAATCACAAATTGTTTTGGGCATGGCAGAAGGAGGCCAAGCGATTTTCAAAGCTCTTGACAATGCAAAGACTCAGAGTTACCATTTCAAGGCAATCGTTATTGCTGGAATGGGATTTTTCACTGATGCTTATGATCTTTTCTGCATATCTGCTGTAACCAAGCTCATAGGCCGGCTTTACTACTATGACCCCACAACCGGCAAGCCAGGTGCTTTCCCGAAAGAAATAAAAAATGCTGTTACTGGAGTAGCTCTATTCGGAACCCTTGCAGGGCAACTCTTCTTTGGCTGGCTTGGGGACAAGCTAGGCAGAAAGAAAGTGTATGGAATCACCCTTGTAACAATGGTTGGGTGTGCCTTAGCATCTGGCCTATCCTTTGGTTCCTCTGCTCAAAGTGTTATTGGTACCCTCTGCTTTTTCCGGTTCTGGCTCGGATTTGGCATCGGAGGAGACTATCCGCTCTCAGCTGTCATAATGTCTGAATACGCCAACCAAAAGACTCGAGGCGCATTCATTGCTGCCGTCTTTGCAATGCAAGGAACAGGTATTCTAGTTGCAGGACTTGTATCAGTGATGGTCTCCAAGGCATTCTTAGCTGCTTATCCAGCCCCTCCATTTAGTGAAAGTCAAGTGCTATCCACTCAGCCGCAAGGCGATTTGGTTTGGCGGATCGTATTGATGTTCGGCGCTGTCCCTGCTGCCTTGACCTATTACTGGCGTCTCAAAATGCCGGAAACTGCTAGATACACAGCATTGGTTCAGGGAGACAAAAAAAAGGCTGCAGCTGATATGGCCAAAGTCCTTGAAACGGACCTAACCGTGGATGAAACAAGTAACAAAGTTGACCCCAAATCATCATATGGATTATTCTCTTCCGAGTTTGCCAAGAGACATGGACTTCACCTTCTTGGAACTTCCACTACATGGTTCTTGCTCGATATCGCCTTCTACAGTCTCCAATTAACACAGAACGACGTCTATCCGGCGAGCGGACTGTTGCATAAAGCCTCGTCCATGAATGCCATTGAAGAGACATTCCATCTATCCAAAGCCATGTTCCTAGTAGCCTTGGCTGCTACAGTTCCAGGATACTGGTTCACAGTGTTCCTCATCGACCGGATCGGACGCTTTATAATCCAACTCGGTGGCTTCCTTGTGATGTCCATATGCATGGCAATTCTTGGATTTCGGTTTTATGCTCTTAGGGGAGATAAATGCAAAGAAAGTAAGAACAAGGAATTCTGCAATGGGAACTCCGAGCTGTTCACCTTCCTATACGGCCTTACATTCTTCTTTGCCAACTTCGGACCTAATAGTACGACATTCGTCGTACCGGCGGAGATATTTCCGGCAAGGTTCCGATCGACTTGCCATGGGATATCCGCGGCTTCGGGGAAAGCAGGAGCCATCATAGCTGCATTTGTGTTCCAGACATACACTCAAGATGACAAAAATGTTAAGCAGGTAATGGTTGCCCTTGCTGTGGTGAACATGATTGGGTTCTTCTTCACTTTCTTGGTCCCAGAAACCAAGGGTAGGTCCCTTGAGGAGATCTCCGGAGAGGAAAAGGATTATGGTGACCGAAAGACCCACCCTAATGGGATAGATCAATCAATTGTTGCAGAACATCAAATGGTTTAGTAATACTAGGTGTTAAATCCTTTATAAACAAAAAAAGTAAATAAAAGCTACTGAATGGCTTATATAAGCTTACCTCGAGTTTCTTGATGATTCTAAATATATATATAGCGATCATGTGGCTATATTAGGGTTCCCAAGTTTGCATTATTATGTACGAAAATGAACACTTTGCTTACTTGATTTTTATGGAGAGTTACGGATGTTGGTCGATATTTAGATTAAGATGAGCATGTGTCATCACGAGGAAGAAGAAGAAGATTATATGTGTGTTCGAAAAGGATCGATCGTAGTTGTGGATGGTTCGTCCCATTTTCCACTCTTGACTGGAGTGTTTATAGTAGTTTTTAGTGTGTCTTAGCCATAGATCATAATGGCTATTTGTATGTTAGAAGACTTAGAAGATCTGGTAATCGGACTTTGGTTTCATTATGGTACGTCGTGTGGGTTTGTTAAAGATATTGTCTATGCACTATGGTTGACTAAAGACCTATATGGTGGAGATGTTAACTATTCGTCGGAAGTTCTGATGGTGGAGAGAGAGTCTGATTCAACATAAATTTAAAGATATAGAAGTTTATGATTGAAAACTAATGAGTTGCGTCGATTGTTTGTGGTTCATTTTTTTTTATTTAGACAGAGAGCATTACACGAATAATCTTTGCACATTGAATCTTCAATGTTTGCTGCAAAATTTCTATAGCACTTATGCTTGAATAGAGGATAGGATGAATCGATAGGATACTTTAATTTCTTTATATTGTCATTGTGCAGTGGTAACAGTTAATTTCCTACTATTGGGGCGAACACATCTTGATTCTTATGCTGGTATATTACATGCATGAAAAAAAAATATAAAGAAATAGTTATAACCTATAAATTAAGGTGGTCAATGGGAGAATCGAAAGATATCCGAGGGTGATAATTGCTTCTCAAGCATAATTCACTTTTAGTCGATTTGTTTTTTTTTTTCCTTTTGGTCCATGCTTCCTTGTATAAATTATAATTTTAGAAACTCGTTTTATATACGAAATAATAGTATGAAAATGTACAGATGATATAATCATTCACTATCCCAAATAAAAAGATTATTAATAAAGAAAAGGTGGAAGGTGAACTAAGGGCTACACATACAAGTACGAGCACTATGCATCCACATATATATATATATAATCATTCACTACCCTGGGAAAATAGAAACCCAACCTCCAAGTCTTCTAGAAACACCTTTGTGCGTTGTTTCTCTCTCACTCATGTATGATAGTATACCAATAGAATAAAGAAGCACAACTACCATTTCAATTTTATCATTTTTGCGCCCCTACCACTAACTACTGTTAGCAAACTTCCTTTTCATATTTTCCCACCCCATTTATTTACATCTTTGCTTCTCACCCAATTCTATCTCACATTCCATTTATACAGGGGTGATTAGGATTTTATGTTGAAGAATCGAATTAATAAAATTTTAAGAGAATAAATTTATAAAATTAAAAAAATATCATCGATAGAAATTGTAAAAAATATTTAAATTATATGAAAATTTAAAATTTTCAAGAAAAAGACTATCACAAATGTCCCATTGGATATTCCCTAGATTTATTAGTATATCGTCTAATTATTTATGAAACTTAAAGACATAATATCAAAGATACTCATAACTTAAATAGTCATTTTGGCCCTTGTTCTTTTTTCAGAGCACTTTGGCCACTAACGTTTCATTTTAAGGTAAAAATATTTTTTATAGATGAAAATTGTTAGTTAACAAATGATTAACACTCTAAAATAAGAATATCTTTATCATAAAATAAAACATTGAGGGTCAAAATACTCTAAGAAAAAAAGAATAAAAACTAAAGTGACTATTCGATCAAACGTTGGATACCTTTTTTCCTTAAAATGAAACGTTAGAATCAAAATACTTTAAAAACAGGGACTAAAACGATTATTTTAATAAATATTAAGGCTATTATGTTAAAAATGACGAGTTTTAGACAAAGGTGCAAATGAAGAACAACTAACGTATAATAATATTTATAAATTCGGAGGGTGGGGGAACCAGAGATCATACTTTGTCTTGCCCGTACTTTTATACCTTACTTTAAACCTATCTGAAACATTACCTTCAATTATTTTTTAAACTACATATTTAGCGCTCTGATCGTTTTCATGGTTCTGTTTTGATTATTTGATTTTTCTAAATCATATTTAATTTAATATTTTTATTTTATTTTAGTCATTTATTATTAATAAATTAACGATAATACTGATGTGTCAACATAAGATAATGTCACATCATTGTTAAAAAATTAAAAAATAGTCACATTAGTAGTTTCGTTTGTTTTTTTCAATAGCAAGTGACCAAAACCTAATATTAGTTATGATTTTAAAAAAGTTAGGTGATCGAAATGAAGCTGTAAAAATAGGTGGGTGACTAAATATGTATTATAATTTATTTTTATATTTCTTATTTTTAAGGGTAAACTACACGTTAGTACTCCAACTATCACTTTTGTTTCATTTTGGTCACCCAACTATTTTTTATTTTAAAATCATACATAATGTTACGTTTTAATTTCATTTTGATCACCCACCATTAAAAAATTAACGACGATGTTTACGTATAATCATAAGGTAATGACATATCTTCATTGATTTTTTAAGAAATTGCCAATCAACAATTCTGCTAATTTTTAACTCCAAGTGATAAAAATGTAATATTATGTATGATTTTGAAAGAAAAAATAGTTGAGCGACTAAAATTAGACAAAAATAATAGTTGGAGTACTAAACACGTAGTTTAGCCTAGTCTTAATATGGCATTTTTTAAGCCATATTAAAAGGAGGAAAGAAGGGGGAGGGGGGGAGAAATAGAGAGGGAGCCACCAGGCGGTCCTCCAAACCTGTCTCACCAACTCGCATCTAGAAGGAAATTAGGGTGAGTTTGTGTGTGTGTGGGAGAGTGAGAGTCAAAACGCTATAAAACTGCGTCAAAAGTGCTCTTCAAGAGGCCGGCTTCAATGTTCCTTCCACCCACCCACTCCTTTTAATTCCCCATTTACAAATGGGAAGGTCTCCCTGCTGTGAGAAAGCTCACACTAACAAAGGTGCATGGACCAAGGAAGAAGACGACCGTCTCATCGCTTACATCCGATCCCACGGTGAAGGTTGTTGGCGTTCCCTCCCAAAAGCCGCTGGCCTCCTCCGCTGCGGCAAAAGTTGCAGGCTTCGCTGGATCAACTACTTAAGACCCGACCTCAAACGCGGCAATTTTACCGAAGAAGAAGATGAACTCATTATCAAGCTCCATAGCCTTCTCGGAAACAAGTAATTAAAAGTCTGCAGCTTTGGCTTTTAATTAGTTTTCAAAATTCATTCTCAATTTCTTAATGGTGAGTCTGGTTTTGGATTTGTAGGTGGTCTTTAATAGCTGGGAGATTACCCGGAAGAACAGATAATGAGATAAAGAATTACTGGAACACGCATATTAGAAGGAAACTGTTGAACAGAGGGATCGATCCAGCAACTCACCGCCCACTCAATGACTCGGTTGTTCATCAGGACGTGTCATCAACAATATCTTTCAATGGTGTTAAGCAAGAGAAAACTGACATCATTAATAGTAATCCCAGCAAAGAAGAACGATGCCCAGACTTGAATTTGGACCTGGGAATCAGCCTGCAGCCTGCAGATTCATTCAAAACTGGAGCCAAAACCCTTTGCTTCTTTTGTAGTTTGGGGGTGAAAAACAGCAAAGAATGCACTTGCACCATTGATGCTGCTTCTGCTAGCAGCAGTGGCAACAACAACAGCAGCAACAGTGGCTATGATTTCTTGGGCTTGAAAACCGGTTTCTTGGATTTCAGAAGTTTGGAAATGAAATGAGTCAAAGGAAAACTGGATTTTATTTTATCTTTTACTATTTTAACCTTGTAGCTTGAGGATAAATGGAGAGATTTTATTTAGTTCTGAATATCACTTCGATTTTCTCTTTAAATTACCTCTAATCTGTATGATTACTAATATTATAATCACTATATATACAGTTCTATATATAGTAATGATACAGGTGATCATTGTTGGTGATTGGTTCGTTTATTTGGATTGTATGCTTTGTGTTCTTTATTTTTAACTTTCAAGGGAACAAAGACGCCCCTTTACAAAATTGTTTTTAACTCTCTTTTCCAAGAGAAATAGAACAAAAGTTAAGCTTTGTCCGACATCTTGATCATAGATTTAAATAACGGCCAGTTTCAGAACAACAATTATTATATAATAGTAAAGATGTGGTCCGGAATTATTATTATATGATTGAAATAATAACCGAAAAATGATTATAACTATAATTTAAATTTTTGATTCTGATAACTGATCAGATTTTTCTTAGTCATTGACAATATATATATATATATATTACGAACGAAACTGTTTGAATTTAAATCTTTTAAGAATGGTAACATTTTTTTATTATGCAGTTCAAATTTATTACGATTTTGATTTTTTTTTTCATTTCCATTTTCTTGTCTTGCTTTTGGGAAGTGCATTGATACCATGTGTAAGCAATGGAAAACCTATGAGAGGAGGAGAAATTAAGAAAGATGAAAGGGGTGGGTAACCTATCCATTCCCCCTCTAAATAATAAAAGCTCCACTGAGACTGTACGTAATACCTATCTTTCAACCAACCAACAATTAATCCCCTTCCCCACTACTAACCAAACTATTAATAAATAATCCCTAATTTCTATATCTTTTATTATTATTGATATATATTTTATCCGCTTATTAATTTGATATATTATACGAATAATAATTAAAATCTAAATTCATTAAATAATTTCAATGAAAGAAAAGTATTATTCTTTCCGAAAGTTTTACGTTTATAGGACATGTGTCTCATTCCTCGATCAACAATAACTAGTGAAATTTAAAGTTTTAGTGTTAATGTTATACATTTTTTACCTAGGCAAAATATATTTGTGATAAGAATATTATTTTCGTATTGTGCTAAATCTGGTTAAACCCGAACTAATTTAGATCTGTCCTTCCCTTGGCTAAACTCTCGATATAACGTTCTCGAACAAATTATTTCACGAGATAATGCTCTCCCAAGATTAATTTGCTCTCCCAAGATTAATTGCTCGAATAAGGTGAAATCTACAGTGTTGGCCGTAGGTCGCCATGCCTTCCGGGCGACCTACTACGTGGCCAGCCATGCATGGGAGAGCATTATTTCGTGAAATAATTTGTTCGAAAACGTTATTTCGAGAGTTTTGATGAAATTGGTTCACAAGTTCGGATAAAGTTGCATTTGTCCGGTGTTTGCATTTCGATCTTTATTATATGCCCCATTTTTTGACAAAATATTAGGTATTGTGCCGTCCTTTTGATTGGAGGGGCATTAAAGTTTGTGGTATTCATTATACCGATTGATTTCTATCTTCTATTTTCTTAATTATTGATCTTATAAACTAACGACTTAATTATTTGTCATAATCTAAAAATTAAATTATATTTGAATAATTTAAATTAATCCATTTCATATGCAAACTGATCTTCATATAAATCAGTTCAAATATGAAATAAAATCAAATTCAAATTTTTAGAATTTAAAATGACACAACCTAAATTGTTTGAATCTATACATGATTAAATTTTCAAAATATCAATATGATTTTATCTTACATTTTTTTGTTACATTATTGGGTAAACTACAAGTTTAGTATTTCATTTTGGTACCCAAATTTTGTTTCAAAATCATACCTAAGATTTAGTTAGGTTACATTTTGGTATCCTTCTGTTAAAAAATTAAGGGTGATATTAACGTGTCACGATAAGATAATGACACATCATCGTTTAAAAAAATGACATCCCAGTAGTTCTGTTAAATTTTTAAGGGTGGGTACCAAATTGAAACTTAAACTAAACGTTAGGTATGATTTTGAAAAAACAAAGTTCGGGCACCAAAATAGAACAAGGATAATAATTTAGGTACTAAATATGTAATTTACTCTAAATTATTAAAATATCACCATAAAATAAAAATCAAAATAACATTTTTTCTCGATTAATTATCAAAATGACACCCTTTTATGTCATGTATTATAAAGACGGATCCAGTTAACCACGTCATTAAAAGACAACTTATTAGGCGAGTGACATGTACAACCAATAAACTATAAAAGCTTTTAACGAACTACATAAAAGATACGACTGATCAAGTAAACCTTTCAAGAGTTTGAATTTTAAACGAACACATATTTTACAGAACATCTTCATATAATTTTTTATCCGATAAAATTTCAATTTGAAATAAGGATGAATATTATTTAGTATTTACTTTTTATGGTTATATTTGGGTAATTTAACCACATTTTGTTGTGTAATGTCACAAATATTATCAAATTAAGAAATCCTTATAAATAAGTGAAATACGATGGGGGAAATAGAGAAGAAAACAACAGATGAAGTTGGTAGATAGAAGATGAGACGATGTGGAGGTTCCAATGTTGACTTTGATGTAAATCAACCTAATCTCATAAATTAAAACAAAACTTTATTATAAATATAAAATCACTTTAACTTCTACTCCTACTACTACTACTACTAGAACTAGTTGTCTAGAAACAATATTAGGTGAGATTGAGACTCACAATGTCATGTTTATGTTTCAATTTTAATATTATTATGATATCATCTAATTACCCTTCGAGTCTTTGGTATTATTATTCCAATCCAACTACTAAATGACAACAAAATAATTCCATTCTCTTTTATGATAATTAAATTAACTATCAATAAATTAAACTAACTTTTAATAAATAATTTTTTTATTAAAAAATTATTTTTGCTCTCTTAAAATTTTATAAGTTTATATCTCCCTAAAATTTTATAAGTTTGTCTCCCTTTAACATAAAATCATGTGTTTGTTCTTGCGAGAAGCTGCATCTGTAGGGAGTGTGTGAGTTGTCAATATGTTAATTAAGTTATGAACAAATACTATCTTGTAATCATCTTAGAGTATTAAAAAGTTGTATGATTTCTTTAAGAATCCATTAAGTGATTTTAGTAGTAAAAGAGATTATTATTTTTTTAAAGATTTCGGGTTCAAACAACTACATTTACAAAGTTGATACATTATTAATAAAATAATAATAATTCTGAATATATATTACATTATTATCGCCTCATCTGATATTTAAAAAGTAAATATGATTTTAAATCTGAAATTGTAAAAGCCCCAAAATTAGCAATTGTTTTTTAAAACAAAAAATGTAATTATGTTTGATATGAAATACAAACGATTGAATTTAAACAAATGTATAAAAATCCACTTATTATGGAAAAAGTTCTCTTACCAAACCAAAGAAAAACAGAAACAATTTTTGTTTTCTTTTTGTGTCACCAAACACAAAGTGAAATCGTTAGGCTTAAGCTTTCATCAGGGGGTGGCTCAGTGGCTTTCGTGAACAACCACATCACATATTCCAATCATAAACAAATAGCAATAATAACACTATCTAATTATGGATGTTGTACCAAACAAATATTTACCGAAATATAAACGAATAAGATAATGCTTCTTTATTGAATTTCAATAAATTATTATAAATCGTGTAATTTTTTTAGAATAGATGTAATAATATTTTAAGTTAAAATCTCCATAAATCAGTGGCTTAGTGATTTTTCGCCACACAATAGGACTACTAAAGAGAAAGAGATTTTATTTAAATATGGAAATCAAATAACAACATCCATAACTTTTTATACTTAAATTATTAAATTAAAAATTAAAAATTAAATGTTAATTATATTTAAATTGCTCTAAGATAAAAAAAATTTAATTTAATAAATATAATTAAGAAATAATTATATGTCCTATTTATTTATTTTTATTTTTATAATTAAGAATATTTGATCATTTTCTAATCCAACCCATCAGTGCACTAAATGAATATTGTTTTATTCTTTTTTGTTATAATATTGTTTTAAATTCATATCTATATTAATATCATTAAAAAAAAGAATTGTAACAATTCATCACTTTATTAATTGAGTATTTTTTTCAAAGGGTTAGGTAGAGACATTGGAAGCTTCCATTGAGATTTTATTTATTTATTTAATATTTCCTTATTTTTCCTCACTTGCTGCGAAAGAAAACAATCAAGTAATTAATAATTATGGCTACAGTCTCTATCAATAGCCTAATAATTGTTCCATCTTACTAAAATTTAAATTCAACTCCCACCACCATCACATGCATGACTCTTTGAGGTGGGACCCTTTTGTTATTCTTTATTTCACCCTTTTATATCTTTAATTATTATAACCCATAACTTATATATTTTTAACTCAAAATTCACTTGAATTAGTTCTTACTGTTATATTTATAAAAGTTTTGGAAATCCTTGTATATTTTAATTACTAAAACCAATACTTTTTTAATCCATAATTTAGTGTACCACAACGTCAGTTTTGATGTTGATCACCGATCATTTGTATTCTTTATTTTTTTTTAAATTTTATAAATTACATCTTTATTTTTATTTTGTTTATTTCTAAAAATTATGCCTTTATGATTTTTTTTTCTTTATCTTATGACACACTTTCGGTCTTCTTTACTGATCATTTGATTATTTTTTATTAAATTTTTTTAGGATTAAATTTGATGACGTCTCGACTGATTAAGACGATATTTATTTATTTTATGTTTTGAAATATTAAAAGTTGATGATTTATTTTGAGAAATCTAACAGGTTTGAGGTAACACCAAAATCCCATGAATTCAAGTGTCACATGGAATCACCGAAATGATTAACCGTTATTCTTTTTTTATTTTCTTTTTGAAAATATACTCACTTTAAAAACATTTACATACAGTGTGAAAGCATAATCATTTACAAAAGCAGGGCCCCAATTTAGAAACTTGATAAATTAAATAAATAATTAGAATATTACAACCTGACTCTTTTCATATCATGACCTCTACATGCTCACTAAGCTGTCATCACTGTCTATGGTACTCTGTTGAGACTTCTCCTATGATACCATGTCCCATCGCATTATACACAACATACAACCTGTGAAAGGAAACACATTCCGAACGTTGAGCTCGCAAGCCCCACACCACACAATACCTCTACTCTACTACATGCATTCATAAAATAAGCATGCTAACAAGTACAGTCATAGAAGTAATTTTTACTATTCCATCAATGCTACTAAATCATTTGTTTCAAGGTACATCTTGTAACACCCCAAATCCTAGGTTAGTAGTTCGGGTCAACCCAAGACCCAAAGTTGAGCCCAAAAGACTTTATAAATCAGTTGGGTCCAGATGCGAGAATCTGTAGTATAAGGCACTCAGGAGATTACAAATTTGGTTCCAGATGTTATTGTTGTGGGTATCTTGATCATTTTCTCCGAGCTTGCTTAGAGGCTCAGGATGTAGCTCCATTATTAACACAACAGTCAACTTTGTCAGTTCAGAGAGACATAGTGTTTCAGAGTGGAGGGAATTCTTCTGGTCAGACTGATAGAGGTGTCGTTTAGCTCGGAGCCAGTGGAGAGTCCAGAGTTGTAGCCCGTCAGTTTGCGATCAGAACTAGTGAAGAGGACGATGCAGTTGATGAGATCTCAAGTAACCTTACCCTATTCCTATTCTAGTAACTATTATAGTATAGTCCATATCAGTATTACTCATATCTTCCACACCATGATGCCTACCTCAGTATTCCATATCAATATCATCATATCTTCATACCTATGTCACTAGTATGCTCATTTAATGAATGCATGTAGTATAGTCCAATTATTAGTGTGACACTGAACTCGTAAGCTCAACGTTCGAAATGTGTTTCCGTGCGCATGTTCTTAAGAGACTGTCCGTGGAGCGTTATCGTCACCAGACATTCCAGCTAAGCAGAGATCCTCATAGTACGTCTTGATTTGTGGTAGAGAGCATGTATTATTGTAGACCCTTTTTATATTCAATCGTAAGTCTATTTTTGTATTAAACTTGACATTGTTTTATTTTGAATATTTGGGAGCTCCCTAGTATTGTAAAACTCATATTTATTATGTTTTTAATTTATATTACTTTGAATGGATATTTTATAATGTTTACAGTGGTTTTAAAAATAAAAATTTTGAATTAGCCTCTTTGGTGGCCTTGTGTGACATCATGATCCATCGATCTTCGGATCAGACCAGATTAAGGTGTTACAACACTTGATTTAGCTTCCGTATTAAGTATGATATTTTCCTAAAATTTAAGGGATAAAATTTGAGTATATTACTGTTTGGTACGTGTTCGTGTATGAGTATAATGAAGAAGACAAACTTTTTTGAGGCCTTCAAATAGGCTTTTATTTTATTCTTCATTATTTGTTAGCAAAAATGTTAGATTTAATTAATTATCAAAACATTCAAAAAAATGGTTGTCCCTTGTTCCCATATGTAATGGGGTAAGGGGAAGGTAAGATAGTAGGCTGCCCCCAACACCAGGTTGAGAGCAGCTTTCGTAAAAGACCTCCGAATTATGAAATGCCCTCCGTGGGACTCGATCCCACGACCTCAAGGTTAAGAACCTTGTGCTCTCAAGGTTAAGAACCTTGTGTTCTACCAACTCGATCCCCCAACATTTAGATGATTCTAATTTAAAAAAAAAATGCTTGTCAAATTCTGAATTTGATTAGGATGAAAGAAGATAAATTTGTTTGAGGAGGGATTTACCTTCGTTATCCTCTCAATTTGCCTAAACATTTAATTTAATTCATGATCAAGCTATCCCTTGGGATGGTTCCATTTTATTGAGTACTAAAACATATTGAATCTTGAGATGAAAGAGGATAAACTTATTTGAGGACTTGAAATAGAGTTTTACTTCTTCATTTTGTTTTTGCACATCAATTTGATCTAATTCATGACCAAGCTATTCCAATTCAATTAGATGGTTAATTCAGAATGCAGATTTATTAAATATAAATTTAATATTTACTTGTTATATAATAATATTTTATCATTTACTATTATTGTTTGATAAAAAGCAAGAGCCCAAATGTACGCATCGGGTTTTGGTTAGTGGGTCTCAAACCAAATTGTGATTTTGGGGCTCCAAGTCTAACTCTTCCCAATCCATAACCAGAACAAGAATAAGAGCTTCCTCTGTAACTGCAGCCGGGTAAGCAAAGCCAAGGATTCTCGCAATCTTTCTCAAGGCTGTTCTATTTTGTATAGATTTAGAATAGTTTTTAGTGGCTCAATTTCCATGTAATTTTGCTTCCCTGTCTTCATATTTTGGTAGTTGATTATAATAACCTATTATTGCATATTGTGCATTAACCCTAACAGTTCATGCAAATTGGAATCGCAGATGGAAACAGTGAAGGTTGAAGATTTTGGGCCTGAATCAGAAGTGGAGGATTTAGGGCGATATGTTGATGAAATATCCACCACTGTCAATCGGGTATTATTCTTTATGAAATACATAATTTACTCTGCACGTCCGGGCTCCTATACAGCTCACATGTTCAGATATTATTCTTTCTGTTTATCATTGAGTCCCTTTCTTTAGAATGCAATTTAATTTCAAATCGGACAACTGGGAGCTAGTATCTGAATGTAATTTGTAATGTATTTCAGATTTCGTGGATGACTGTCGCAAGTTTGTTATTGTATTTCATCATGGATACATGGTCAATTTGTTCTTGCTGTTTTTAGCAGCTTTTTGTTTTGCCTGTATTGTCCTGCTGACGTTGCTACATACTTATCAAGTCCTGCATTTTGCAGCTTGCCCATAAACTTGCATCTTTGCATTATTGATTAGAACTATATTGAACTTGCAGCTCGAGCAAAAGGTCAATGATGTTGAACAGTTCTACTTGACTACGGATAATATGGAGTTGACTGTTACCAAATCTAATTCAGCTTGTAAGGAAAAAGTCCAGGAAAAACAGCTTACCGGCACTGAGAAGCAGCGGCAAGAAGTATCACATAGAAAAGCTGCTTCTATGAAGAGAATGCAGGAACTTATGCGCCAATTTGCCACAATTTTACGGCAGGTAAGAATAAATAAATTTTTGTTTCATTTAGAGGTATTGATCATATGGTCCAGTTTCACCATCTTGAAAGTCTATGTATTCTTCCTCCTTTCTTATAGATTTCGATTTTGTTCTTCTGAAATGTTTTCTTAAATTTTCTGATTAAAACTTATTAATCTGTACCTAGTCGAGGCCAAAGAAAGCTGTGGGTTTTATCAGAAAAAATTCAAAGAATGTTTTAAGACGTTGTCTTGGTATTACAAGAATGGCAGGTGATCCTTTTATTTGGGTGATGTATAAACTTCTCTTACAGATGGTTGACACGTCAAATGTTTTTTTTCGAAGTTTTGCCCTTTAAGCCAGCACAGTATACCGGAGCTTGATTCTTTATCATGTTTCTATCTTTGCTCTCTGTTTTCTTAATAATTTTTCTTCTTTTAGGGGGAACTTTTTGCCAATTCTTATGTTGGATTATTGTTACCACATCTATCCACACAGTTAAATTTTTTACTCGTATTAAACTCTATACACTAGCAGTCATCCTTCTTGCCAATTTCATCTAGGCAGATGAATGCTTTTAGATGCGGATCATAAAACAGAAAACTTAGATTTTAAAATTTAATTATAAAAACTTGAAGGTTTCACACCACATTACCACAAACACACAATCCCCCAACCCCACCCCACCCTCAGAAAAAGAATAAGAGAATTTTCATTTTAAATATTATTATATTTGTTGCAAATCAATAAAATTTTGAATGTACACTCCCATTCCTGTAATTGCATGAAAAGTAATGTGCTCGTCCCTCAAAATTAAACTATTTTTGTTGAAAATTAATGTAGTCGGCATTTTAAAATGTAAGCATCATTGCTGATTCTTAGTCATAATTTCTGGTTAATTTCAATTGTACTTTCCGTTTGTCAGATAACTCAGCACAAATGGGCACATCCTTTTATGCATCCAGTTGATGTTGAAGGTCTTGGGTTGCATGACTATTATGAGGTAAAGCTTAGTGATTGTTTAAATAGTTTCTGGTTGGTTTTCTCATTTTAAGACATACTTTTTGTTTTCATCAGCCTTTATATTTGACTCTTTTCCTTGCTTTAGAAATTCACTGTACTAGTTTTCCTATGCACATGTACATAAATACCTTTCACTAACCCTTATTTCTTAAATTTTGATTGTTTAATTTATTTATTCCTAAATATGTATTCTTTAACTGATGCATCATAAGGTTGTGCATTTTAGGTAGTTCAGAAGCCTATGGACTTTGGTACAATAAAAAGCAAGATGGAGGCTAAAGATTGTACTGGGTACAAGAATGTACGTGAACTTTATTCTGATGTTAGATTGGTTTTTAAGAATGCCATGAAATACAATGATGAAAGACATGATGTCCACATAATGGCCAAAACTTTATTGGAAAAATTTGAGGAGAAGTGGCTGCAACTTTTGCCTAAAGTGGCCGAGGAGGTAAGCCATTATCTGGGCGTGGGAACCTTCCACCAGTAAATGGTTGATGATTTATTTAAACATGTTTTCAGTAGTCTTTTAATTCTGCTTCAAGCATGTTGTGTAAGTTCACTTGCTTAAGGTTACGTGCAGGAGAAAAGACTGGTCGAGGAGGAAGCAAAAGCAGAGCAAGATGTGAAGCTGGCACAAGAGGCAGTTCATGCTAACATGGCCAAAGAGTTGAGCAATGAAGTATGTAAAATAACATGACTCTTGCATAGGAAAAATAAATTGGAAGAATGCATCTAACCTTCATTTTTTTTACCAATCCTCATCCATAAACTCTGAACAATATTATTGTCGATTCTTTCAGCTTTGTGAGGTCGATTTGCAATTGGAGAAACTCAGACAGATGGTCATTCAGAAATGCAGGTTTGTTTAAAGATATGTAATGCAGAATTTGGTTGGTTTGGCAGAAATTTGTGAATATTATAAATTGGTTTGCTTCAGGGTGTGGGAGGGAGGGAGTTAATCTTCTATATAAACTTCATCTAAATCTTCACCTCATTAGTATTTAGTTCTTAATTGCATTTTGTGGTAATGGTTTGGCGAATTATGGTGAGAGAGTTAACAGTCCGTTTCATTTTCAAGCAGCCATAGGTTTTAAGGTAATTTTCAAACAGTCCGTTACATTTCATTTGTGTTTTTTTGGTAATTTTGTGGTAAATGATGTATGTCATTATGTTTTTCTGGTAGAGGTGCCATAATTATGACCTGTGTTGATAGAGTAAAGATCACATTTAGGTTATTGGGGCTAATTCCGTTGTAAATATCTGCCTAAACTATTGCTTGTACATTTTTATGTCTATTTTTGCATGCCTGATCATTTGAGTTTGTATTTATAATTCTTCAAGACCTTTAGCTATAAATGCTAACTATAGACCTCGTATAGGAAAATGTCGACCGAAGAGAAAAAGAAACTTGGGATGGCTCTCACCCGATTGTCTCCTGAAGATCTTAGTAAGGCTCTTGAGATCGTTGCTGAGAACAATCCAGGGTTTCAACCAACAGCACAAGAGGTGGATCTTGATATAGATGCACAGGTAAATGCTTTGGTCCAATAACGAGTCTCTAATAATTCATCATTTGTATATAGTTTCCTATGTCTTTGTAAGGCCGCAAAGCAGCTACTAAGGTGTATTCTCTTTTGTTTCGGATTCCACAGAGTGAATTAACTTTGTGGAGATTAAAGTTTTTTGTTCAAGACAAATTAAAACATGCTGGAAAGTGCTCTGAAGTTGTGGACTGCAACAATATAAATAATAATGAGAATACCGTCAAGAGCAACTCCAAAAGAAGAAGAGAGATGTCCGATGCTCTTACGAAGAATGCCATAAAGAGAAATAGGAAGCTCTCTCCCAACTCATGAGTTGCAGGCAAGTATTATAGTGTGTCCTTCGGTTAACCATTGAAGTTGCCCAGTGTCTGAATATTAATTATTTTTAAATGTAATGTGGTAGTTGAGAATTGGAGTTATGGTGGTGGTAGAACTCGTTACAACTATGTGAAGGGTACATAAATTTTGATTACCGTCCCTTGTATATTTCTTTTTTACCTTTTCATAGTATTGAAGGGCAAATAATGATATGCATTTTGTATTTGCTTTGCTTTATTTAGCAAGCCGTCCTGCACATGGTCGCATCTACGAGAACCATATGTGACCAAGGCCCGTTTTGCAATGTGGCACGCAGGGATGGATGCATTAAGCCTAGGAGAGCAAGCGTATATCCATTATTTTGAAAATTTTGTTAATTTTAATCTAGTGTATTAAGGAGAGGGAAAAATAAGGGAATTTGCATACTCATTTTTTAGAAAGAACCGAGTATTAAAATTTTGGAGCTCAATTTTTAAATTTCTGGATCCATCACCGGGGTATATCTAAGATTGTCTGTCTTATTTATTTTTGAATGGTATGAGATAATTACAAAGAAGTATTTATTCAGAATTTTTTAGTCATTAACAACGCACAAACATTTTACAATTGTTCAAATTTAAGTTGTCTTAGAAAATGACATTCTTTTTTTATATTTTTTTACCATTTAATAGGTTTGATTGTCTATATCTTTAGATCCAAACAAAGTAAACCAACCAATGTCAAGAATTACATTAACACGCAAGATGTGCTTGCTTAGTTTTTTAGTGTTTCATTAATTTATCAATAAAATGTCTCCTAAGTTAAAGAATATGTGAGTATTCAATCACTTAATGGCACATAACTAATGCTTCAAGTCCTCATACAGTAGCTCCGATGTAAGAGGCCGAGACCGAGCAGATGATATCTAACTTAAAAGAGGCCGACTACGCCTACGATATAAGATAGTTGTAAAAATTATGAACATCCCATCCAACATGGTTATTGCCAGAAACATTTAAAAACATTGAGTCTTAGATCAGTGATTTGGTGCGAGCCTTAAATTCTTTGATTGATTCATCGATTTTCTGCAAACCATAACATAAAAAACTAATACAACAGATCAACCATTGATGGTCTTATCTGTCTACTGAAATTCTTCCATCAAGCTTATTATTCTAGGAATTTTCCTGATGAAACTGCATAACTATACTATAAGCTAAAGGGATACAAAGGTCATGCCACTTGCTTTTGGAAATGATGGAGCTGGTGGTGATGCTCATTGTGGTGCATATATTCCACACCACCGTTGTTCTCCGATGCATTCACCATCTCGGACAACCCCTTGGTCGGGTTTCGGGTTAGCTCGAGCAACGAGTCCCTCACATGATCAGCCTGAAGCATCTCACTGTCTTTTTTCTACCACCAGACGGGTAAATTTTTAGTTGATCTCATAAATTTATATGCACTACATATTTATACATGTTCTGAAATGAATTACCTCTACTTTGAAAACATTTGAAACAAGACCTCTGAAGCTGTTTACATTTGCATTTGTTACTTCCAACCCCAATGAATCCAAAGCCTCCATTAATCTCACAAATCCGCCTGGTTTGTGCTCACTAAAAACTTTAACAAAAAACTGGTTCCCATTGATTTGAGCAACTTCAACTTGTACCTAAACATTCCATCTTTCTCAAATCACCATTTAAACACCAATAAAGGGATGAGAATATATGTATTTGATTTTATTTTACCTCCATTTGCTGTGTCTTGTGGGTACAAAGATCCACATCAGGAAAGCTATGGGGTTCCTTATCATGTTCAGGGTTAGAATACACAGGGATTTGATCATTTTGTAAGAAAATATCAGACTGAAACTTGTTATGGACTCCATTGGTGCCTGTTTTCTTAGCACCATTATTGTTATCCGAATGTTCTTCAAGTTCATCTTGGAGTTCTTTCTCTTGGTTTTGCAATTCCTTCACAAACTCAATCGCATCTCCAAGGATTGAAGCTCTATCCAGCTAACAATAATGAATATACAACTTCAAAATATATATGTTTTTGTCTAAAGTTACATAAGACAATTGATGATTAAGTGTACCTTTGAGATTTTGGGAACCAAAGATCGAAGAGCATAGAGTCTTTCATTTAGCTTCTTCCTTCTTTTTCGCTCTGCAACAAGGTTTTTGGACTGCCCTTTGGACCCTGCTCTCCTTTGGTACCTTGCATCATCTTCATCATCGTTCTGATCGCTGCAATCCGAAATTGAATCCGACCGTCTGTTCTCTTGTTTTATAGAGTCCTTTTCATTCCCTTGGATGATGCTTGATTCATTGGTCATCATTGAACTCAATGGATCCATCTCTTGAAGTCCATTATCCTTATGTGGGTTAACAACCTTGTCTGAAATGAATACATCATGAGACCCTTTGACGCATGCATCGATATGGTTGGTTTTATCTTCTGAATGATAATGATATTGCTGCAGGGTGTTTGTCGATCGCATTTGATCGATGGAGATGTCATACGGTAGGTTCAGAGTTTCGAGTGTCGTCGCCAATGGCGGTTGGAAATGATTGACGGAATCCTTTTCATCATTTCCGTTGCTCGAAAGAGGATTTGCTTGAAACTCATTCAATGCATGGGATCCAAGTACATTCAAATGTGCATCAATGGAACTTGAATTCATCATTGAGATTTGCTCCAATGAGATGTTGCAGAGGGTCACAATATAATCCATGAGATTTTTGTCTTCACATACCTGTTTTAAGAAAATTTAAATTTTCTCGAAACATAATCTGCTTAAAACCAATGAGAAAAACAAAATAAACTACATACTTGTTTGGCAACAAATAGATCAACCAGTCCTACTGCAACTGGAATCAAAATCCTAGTTCCAACTATATCCTGCAAAAAGATTCTAAGGACATCAAAGAACTTTTTTTTTCCGAAAATTTTTAAGGAATAAGACTTGAAGATGTATTAGTTACTAACCTCAAGAACATTTGAATCTGAATTGGTAGAGAAGTTTAACCATTTGGGTTGATTTGAAATCAAGGCTTGTGCGTGACTTCTGCTTAGTGTAAAATCATCAAAAACACCCATAAAAGATGTAGGAGATAGAATGAAAGAGAGAGAGAGAAACGTTAAGGTAACAATACCCAGAATTCAAGGGCATGCAAGAAGGAAGATGGGCAAGCAATTCACAGGATCTGGTTTTAGGATGCTGAAACATCACATCCCTACATGGAAGGGCTGAAGTAACAGGAAATTGAAGCTCTCCACCACTTTCAATACTCTCAGTTCCACCACAACAACAATCCACCCATTCAATAAACCTGAACAAATCCCCCACAAACAATGTTCATTAACATTGGTGCATACACGAGAAAGTGACACATATGTATGTATGTTAATGTATGTATTGTCATCACATGCATGCAGCACACCATGGTTTAAACTCTAACCTTTGATCATCACTCAGTTTCCAGAGAACGCAATAGTCCCATCCTTTAGGACCTACCAGCTGCCTTAGTATCTCCATGAGGTTTTGAAGGATATTCATCCTAACGACCTTCATTGAAGTTCATAACCGATCTATGTTGCACTGATACGAATACAGATACGAGGACGGGAAACGGACAATGCAAGACAAAACAAAGAACGAGACCACAGATGAGTACAACGTGGAGTTGATAGCAATGGTTAACTGCATCACCATCCAATTCACCTCATCCTTAAACTAAAAGAAATAACAAAATCTTAATACCCTAAATTGAAGAAAGACTCAATTTTTGATGAACCCCCTCATCAATGTCTCGCATTATTTTTATATGTAGAAAGAAAGCTCGTTTTGTTTTTGTTATTTGGTAGGTGAAATGCAGTGCTTGCATGAGAAAGAAGTTCAAACTCTGTACATCACATACATACATAAAATATATGTGTATATATTTGAAGGGTATAAATTAAAAGTAAAGAAATATTGAAGGGGCAAATATTGCATGACCTAAGATTACGTATAAAACTTTAACTGACTGCTTTATAAGTTTGTTGAATTTCGCTTATGGTTGCTGATTGTCTCGTGTCTCAACTACTCCTCTCTCTTTTGCTTTCAAACTAAACTAATTAAAGAAAGCTATATATTCGCCAGTTGCGTTCAGATTAGGGCAAAATATCTCAAGAGCCTGCAGCTGGTTCCCCATTTCGAGGAAATTATTAACTCTTCATCTATAAATTTTTATAGTAAACTTAAAACAAATAAGTACATGCAACAACCAACTGCACTATATCTTTTTAAAAGTATTACTTGGAAACTTTGCGTAATCTAAACAAATTAAACGATCTAAGCCTAAGTGATTTTAGAATATAATAAACGTTTGAGATAAGGTTGTCTCAGCAAAGCAATGACTTACTAGGTTTAGGAAAACAACTTAACATTCTTGCATCTCTTTAATCATATTTGTCAATGTTGAAATTTGGTCTGATAATGAATCAAACGCATCCAACTCCATTGCCCCTATTATTCTCAGTCCAGCATTTGCTATGAGAGTGGGATATTGGAAATCGTTCGTATCATTTCGCTCCACAATGTCATATATATGTACTGTTATAAGTCCTAGCCAATAGTGTATCATTTGTTGAAGATCATCCTTGTATTCAAATTTAATCCAGTATAAAAAATTTCAATTTGTGCCCAATATACAAAAATCCATGCCTTGGACATTTTCTCAACAATTCTTTAAATTGATACCAAATCTCATGAAGAGTTAAATAGCATTGATCCAATCTTTGGTTGCAACTCTCAGGGAATAAGGAAACAAATTTAAGTTAATGATTGCTTCAGATATCTCATCTTATGCAGGTGATGACTGACATACATCTAAAAACAAATGCATCTACAAACAAATCTTCTGCTGCAGCACCAATGAACAGTCCCACAGACTGTAGCTTCTGAAACATAATAGGTTTTAGTTCAAAATATGGAATTTGAACTTCAGATTATACGATGCCTATAGTTAAATCATCCGGCAATAGAATCACATGATTTCTGATAGGTTGGTCCCCATTGTCAACCATAACCTGCCTAGAAACTTCATTATTCGTCACAACATTATTTTGTAGAGCATTATCATTCTTTATCACATTATTAACTGATGGGACATTTACTCTTCCTAGATTGATGTTAACCTCCAGAACATTATCTCCTTCCTGATTATTATTAGTTTCATTTTT